GGGCGAACTCGATAGGGGGCGAACGCGGTGCAATTCGGCGTGACCATGGTAATGTTAAACGATAAAGATAGAACTATATTTAATCTGAAATATCGTAAGGGCTTCCTTATATTGGTGTTGGGAAAAAGAATGGAAATATTATATTACTTTAAGCCATTCGATACAAAAATTATAATAAGACAGGTTGATTATTTCTTAGGTATCCGCCGCTTTCGCCCCCTATCGAGTTCGCCCCCGGATTGAGTCATGTCTAAATTAGTTGCTATCGAACATTGCAAACAAGTTAGAACCAAGACAAGTTTTGAATTTTAATTGACCGACGCATTCTCTCAAGACGTGACATTTGGAACATTCTGCTGGTGCCTTCGTCACAAATCAACTCATCTGGATATCACTCAATCATGGGGCGAACTCGACTTGATGGGGCAAACTCGAAGGGGTGAACTCGATAGGGGGCGAACGCGGTGCAATTCATTTCTTATTCCTTTTGGCGGTCTCATCTAAGTACAATTTCTTTCACCTTTTTCTTATTGCGGTTGTGAATTTGGTACGGAAACAGTTGCTCCGTTTCTAAGGTGATTAAATCTTGTACTATTTTGTGATAAGCTATGTTTTTAATTATGTAAATTTTCTAGTTGTAAATCTTTCTGGTAAAAGTTAACCTCGCACACTCCTGCTTCTTATACAAATTCTTAGTCAAATTCTTAGTCAAATTCTTAGTCAAATTCTTAGTCAAATTCACGATTCCAGAATATTTCTTAAATTTTTAAATTAACACCTTCAACACCTCTTCTTAAAGGTGACTCTGATTGTAAATAGCTTATGCTTTTTCATCTCCGCACTGAATTTGTAATTATATAACTTATGCGAATAGCATGTAGTTTTCTTGGGGGCGGTACCTTAAGTACGCCCCTTCTTCTCCGAATTTTCTGTTTACTCTGTTGTTATATAACAATCTTCTAAGGCTATTTTCTCATAAACTATCTTTTCAAGCGTAATTTCAATTCTGCCAATAGGTTAATTATAATTTTTATATTATCAATCTTGTCTTTGTTCTGGCCGATCTTAACCGTAAAATTAAGAAATTTAAGGTAGAAGATGATTTTGTGATTGCGTAAACAACTCGAAGGCGCATACTTAGTATGCAGGAACTGCCGTAGGTACTCTAACGTGATTCGCTGGCTGAAACGGAGCGATCGCGATGTAAGAAGATTGACAGCTTAGAAGTGTCATCTTTGGTGTCACCTTTATAAGCTGGTGCACAGCATCTTTCAATCAGGGAATATAGCAAAGTAAAATAGTGTGGACTTATGTCGAAAGGAATAAGTTGAACTGTGGTGAATAAGATTAGTACTGGGCTAGTCCCCGAAAGTAAGAATTGTAATAAGAGGTCAACCAGAAAATAAAGGAGATTCAACCGAGTGTTAGAGAGAAATTCTTCTAAAAGTAATAATTCACTATTTTAACTACCTCAAGATAAAATAAGAATCTGAAACAACCGGAATGACAAAAATACTTATAAAATGCAGGATTTTACGCTTCAGCACATTTAAAGTCTAAAGTCTAAAGTCTAGACAGTCAGAATCACTGCCAGGAAACGTAATAAAGCGATTCATTGTTTTAAGACGACGAAACTACAATTATAGGGCGCCTAAAAACTATAAAAGCTATAGGGTTGTGACGTAAGACCCCGCATAAACTGTTCCATTTCAAGCTTGACTTGTCCATGTCACCTTTGTATTTTTGGCGGTTACAGCGTAAACCTACTGCTGTAGCACTAAACCATTTCGGTTTGTACTAAACCTTTTGTCGTCACGCTAAACCTTTTCACTTTACGGTGAGTAGATTGATGCGACACTAAGCCATTTCGGCTTACGATTAACCATTTGCCGGTAACTTAAGCCATTTCACACTACTCTGAACCGTTTGTGTCAAGTCACGGAACCAAAATACAGTTAGCTGAACTGTTTGTCATTTCGACACTAAACAATTTCAGTTAACACTTAGCCAATCGTGTTTCTATTGAATCAGTTCAACAAGGGTGGCTACACAGTTCTGAATTGTATAAACCATTTTTGTTTGAATATTTCATTTCACCAAAGGCGACATGTCCATTAGTATTTTAAAAAAATTTCTTGTGATAAGATAAACCGTTCTCGAAGAGACAATTAGACCATTTCTGTTCATTACAAACCATTTGTTATTATAAGTAAGTGTTGCGCAGTAGTGTAGACGTTACAAACCAATGATGTCGGAACATTTCACAGTCATCCAAGAGAAGGAAGGAGAGTTCTTTGGACCACGACAAGTGCTTATTCGTGGCGTACGATTAACAATCAACGCGCCCAGCACTGGTAAGGATCTTGAGAGGGATCTGAGTCGTTTTGAAACCCGTTCAGACGATGTCTATGTGGTCAGTTTTCCAAAATCAGGTAAGGCTATAGATCGATTCTTTCGACTGGCCACTTTGCTTCACTTCGTCGCCGATATCTTTTACACTGCTGTCTTTTAAGTGCTGACTTATTTGTGAATAGGGACAATTTTGACAACAAAAAAAAAACGAAATTTTGTCCATAAGACGTCCGCAACACATGCCATTTTTGAATAATTGTTTGGTTGCCGTGTGAACTTTAGAGGGCATGTAAACCCTAAAAACGTTAATTTTAGAGAATGATATATTTTCGTCTTGTCACGAGCGTGCGACAAAGAAATAATTCTGAGTCCCCATGAGGAATCGAACCTCAGACCTTCGGATTCCGTGCTCCAATGCTCTATCACTAAGCCATAGAGACTACACGGTGTGCGAGGTCTGTTACGAAATACATATGACACATGTCCTGCATACTGCTAGGATCAGCAATATCGATAGCATAATGTTTGTAGATAGAAATAAGAGAGATGGTAAGTTTTGAGCTCGGTAAAGAAATAGAGATTGATGTTTTTTTCGTCTTCTCACGAGCGTGGGACAAAGTTTTTCTTTTCACATAGATGTTTAGTAAACATATCAAGTACACCAAAGGTACCATTCGTTTTTTTCTGAAAAGTCCATTTTCACTTTTTAAAAGCTTTCCTGTGACCTGAGGGGTGGAACCTCCAAAGTTACGTTTTATAACCGCATGAGACACGTAGGAGTCTTCTCCACAGCCATTGTTTGCCGGTCTAGTCATGAGTTTTTACTAACAGTTTGCTTCAATATATTCAATATTTTCATAATGGTAGAAAGTTGTATCGTCCAGTTTTGTACTGATTCAAACAAAACTGAGCATACAATGCATGGATTTCCAAATGACACAAATTTGAAGCGACAGTTGGTGAACTTTGTTCAGGTGAAAAAAAAGATTTCTATTGCATTCCGATTGTACTCTTGCTTTATTGGATTTTCATGTCAGATACAAATAAATCATACAGTAAATTAAATACCCGTCTGAGTTTCCGAAACGGTAACATCGCTGTCAACATGTTCTCTACAGTCCTTGTGCGGATCCCTTCGGTGAACCCTACGCGACTCATATGTTAAGGACGTGGCCGAGACTCTCCTAAAGATTCTGGATTATCCCCATCGCTGTCATATACTAGGTTTAAGGCATTCGTGTCACTCTCTTCTGAAAAAACATCGTCCAAACTACTGCTACTAATACGCGCTGCAATACCAATCTTACTGTGGAATATGTGTTGCGCAATATTTTAGTTCCAACGCTTACTTCATAAGTGTTTTCACGGGAAGTGGAATTTCTCCCTAATATAAGTCGAATTGGATAAAACAAATCTCAAATTCGTTTTCTATGCCACTTTTTTCATAGTATATGAAAAACATGTAATTTTGGGTTTACATGCTCTTTAATATATTGCATTGTTTAGCCATTTCAAACCACGGACCTCATAGCTTAAAAGGTCCGTAGGGAGAGTACGTAAAACAACGTAATTGTTTACAGCAAACCAAATCACTACGTATAACTGACAGAATAGCTCATATTTACAACCAAATACGACCAAATTAAAGCGTGCAAGAAATGCAAACTGCGGACAACGAGATCTATCCTTGAACTAAACTTTCTTTATCTTTTCTCAGGAACAACTTGGGTGCAAGAAATAGTCTGGCAAATACTCAACGATGGAAGAATCAGCGAAGAAAGGGTGGAAAGTCGCTATCCCTTTTTGGAAAAAAGTCAGCTCTTCGATAGGCCCGGAGACGAGTCAGACGGGCAGAAGGACTCCGTGACTTCTCGGCCCAGTCCCCGCTTAATTAAGTCGCATCTTCCTTATCA